AAGTTGAAAGCACGTTAAACATGTGTGCACCTGTTCGTTTGATAAGTTGCATCAAATGATACGTCATCAACAAAAGATCCGTAGTTCCTTCTAGAGATTGGATCGGCCCAAAATAGTCTTTTCAAACCGTCATTCTCATCAAGATCATACTGGAAATACAACGCGATACTGATTTCCTGAAGTTTATAAAACTTCTCAATCACTAATTGGGCATCTCTTCCTGATATGTATGCAAGGAGTTCCCATTTAAAGTTCTTGAAGTCCATGCTTGTTGCCCCAATGTTCGAATATCCTCCAACAACTTTCTTGTACATTCGGTGGGAACGGACTTGCCCTATATCAGCTTTTATGCAATTTAGTACAAACGTCTGATGTCCAACATTCATTGACCTGTTGATTTTCAGTTATGACCTGCAGTTGTCCGATGTCATTGGGTGGCTGTGTTTCTCCTCGAACAATTTAACAATATATCCATTCAGACCATCAACACGCAACCCAATACGCGCATTACAACCTACCCGGTTGGACACTCTAAGCCTCATTACACGACCCTCGTCACGTGTTGTTGTATCAATTACAGCATGATGCTTGTAACCTTCCCCTGAGCACACCATGTATTTCCAAAGAATTGTCTTGTCTATAGCTTTAAACAAGGTGCAGTTTCTCACATCGAACCTAATGTTGGGAGCATATCTCTTGTAGAAGTCGACAGCTTCGTGTAATTCCCGAAACCACTGTCCCTTGTAAGGTTTAATCGATCCTTCACATTGTGGTATCCAATATTTAGTTCCCCCGGGCGTGAATACCAATTGGTGATGTGCATTTGTTCTTTGCGAGTCTTGAAAGTTTGCGATAAAATCAAAATACAAGAAAAAAATATATTAGTAGACTGCACATTTATGACCACACAGCTGCACATAACTACTTCGACAGTTTCACCATACCTGACTGTGATTCACTCATTTCCTTTAGCACTGCAGCTCGGCCAATTCTTGTATCAGACACCTAAAAAGAAAAAAAGAAAATAGCAGGAATCAGGGGAATTAATTCTTTATCATATATTAAAATACAAGAATTC